ATGGGTTACAGAGACAAGGTTATAATCTCACTATGCCATTTCCTCTTTCCAGAAAGACTATATCTGTCACCTCCTCCATAGTGAGGAGACAATTTGAAGAACTCTCCCATTGGATACGAATCAGCATGATAGCACCATTATGTGAACTTGACAGGGTATTCTTCCCTCCACAAATGATCTTTCCTCCCCGTCTACAACTTTGCAGGCTGTATGTCTCAGATGACAGAAGAACACAGCACAAGAACACTGTACAAGGTGTACCATACTCCACTGGTAAGAGAACAAATGTTCTGTTAACACTGAGATTTTAGTATATTTGTATTATGGCAGCATGGTCTGTCTCATACGGACTAATATACACAGCAGATGTAAATTATTATTCTAAAATATTCTGGTACACATGCATTGTCATAGTATTCAGCAGCTCTAGAAATGTTTACTGGATGAGTAAAGAAAAGTCTCAAGATCAGCTGTCCTCAGAACATTGGTTACTTTATTACTGTAACATTTTTCTGGATATTAAACAAAACATGCATAACCTTCTCTCTCTTGTATCTATTCTCAATTCCCTGTTCCTTCAAATAGTACCTTTAACACATGTACTGAAACCTGTTTTCCACTAATGTATAACCATGTGTCAATTACACTAAAGAAGCTAATATGCAAAATACATAAAGGAATACCAATTTACCAATCTAATTCTTGCCAATAATTCAGTTTTGAAAGCTTGTTATCCAGGAATTCAAGATGCTGATGACAAGTGAAGGGTATGCTTATGTTTATAAAGGGGTGTATTCCTAAAAGAATATTGTCAAAATATATATTTCAGGATAGATGCTTACTACTGTCATAAGTAAAAGCACTTTAAATATAGAAGTGACTATCTTCAGCATTTTCACAGAAGTGCTTATTGCTGACATTGTCAGTAACTGAACATATATAAGAATGACATGAAGAAATTTATGAAAAGATCATAAGTCACAATGCTCTCAAATATCACCTTATCTGTTCCACATTTTGACTTCTGGTAACATATTTATTACCAGCTTTGATTCTAGGATAAATCAAGCCCTTCACCAAGTCATAGGAATTAATGCCCATGAGGAAAGCAGCTTTGTCAGCATCTGGTCATAAAAAAGAAAGAATGTCAAGACAGGAGGGAGAAAAAGAGTGAGGGGGGGAGGGAATGCATGACAGGAGGGAAACATTTTAAAAATTCACTCCATTATAACAAAAAACACTGCCCAGAGGATATAATGATGGTGCAGTTCAATCAATGCAAAAAGATATATTGTAGCTTTTTAATAAACGCTTGAAGGCTAAATGTTGAAAAGAATCTACTTTCTGCAGACGGGAATCAAACCACATGGAAGCATCACTTCGGGATCATTAGAATGACTCTCATCAAAAAGCAATAACGTGTTGATGAGGCTGTGCAGATGCTTTTACCTTCAGGTGTGTCTTAGTCATTATAGAAAACAAATTGAGAATTATGTAGAGATTAAACACAGGGTGATTACAAGACCCAGAAAGTCCATTCTCAGGTATGTAACTAGGAAAAATAAAAGCTGCTATTTTTTTATTTGTAAATTTTTATTGAATTTTTGTGTATTTCATACAGATCATTGTAATCATTTTTATACCCTCTTCCCCACTGGTACCCTCCCATAGCCCCCCAATTGGAGTTCGTGCATCCTGTCATTTGTGTTTGTGTCAAGGCCTATCGAGTTAAGTTAGTGTCCCCTGATGTTCCTCAGTACAAGTTCATCCACTAAGGTCTAGTCAATCTATCTAGAGTCCCTCCCTTTAGAAGGGACAAAATCAGCTCTTCCTTATCCAACAGTAATCAGCTGCTACTAGTTCTTTGGCTAAGATTGGGGCCTTTTGCCTATTTCCACAGTTCTATGCTGGGTTTTTGTCTGGTTGAGTTTGCATGGGTCTTGTGCATGCTGATGTCATTGCTGTAGGTTCATATGAGCAAGGTCCCAGAAGCTCGTAAGACTCTATTTCCATGTGGTCATGTACCGCCTCTATTTTTACCAAAAAAAAAAAAAAAAAAAAAAATTGCATGTAATAGTCCTAGCAACATTATTCATTCTAGTCAAAATGTAGGAAAAATGCCAATCAACCAATGAATAAACAAAATGTGATATATTTATATAATAGGAAATATCTAGCCAAAAAAGGAAATGAAGATTTGAGTACGATATGACATAAGTTCATCCATAAGGACTTGAGGAAGATGATTGTCAGTGGTGGGAAATTCACCCAGCAGTGGAAAGGAGATGAAAATATTTTTACAATCATTACTATGATCACAGACTCTTCTGAAGGTCAGATGGACATTTATTCACAGATTTACATTGCTTTCATCCTTACTGTAGACTTTTAAATATTTACTACAAATGACATTCTTTACATTTGGGTATGTGTTAATTACTATTGCTTTTTGCTCTCTACCTTTCCTCCCAGCCCAAGAAATATAGTGCACATGTGATGTCAGATGTAAGCCTCTGAGATAAATCCATGATGCATCTTTACATGCTCAGTGCTGTCTGGAGTAGGTAGGGAATAATCCTGCAATAATGGATGAATTTCTTTAAACATTTAAGGTGGGATGTCATACTAAGAACTTGAGTTAACCTTGTTTGTGGATAAAAACAGATTCAAGGACAGTTCTTAACACTGAAGAAAAGATGTAAGAAACCTATCCTGATGTAAAAAGTATTTCTGCAGTCCTAGTGAAGATAAAAAGTGGGAAAATGAGGACCCTTGTCAAGACCTTAGATGGTGCCCCCAGGAAGGATGGATATTACTCACTTCACTTATTGGCATTTTCTAATATATTAGTAAGCATGTCTAACTTAGATGAGGAACAGCTGATCTTCCTAAAACAGGGATCTCTAGATAGGCTGACTAGATTCAGCGGATGGACAAGCACTGGGGAACAGCTGGGAGCACTGACAACACAAGGGACAGTAACAGGGATGACAGAGTATATGGGCTCCAGTGGGAGGTGGGGAGGCTATGGGAGGGTGCCATTTGGGAAGTGGGCATATAGATTAATAAGATTGTTTGGGATGTTCTGGATGATATACACAAAAAAATCAACAAATAAAAAAATGAGTTATATTTGAGGAGGAAGCACAAAAATTTACTTCATGTTAATTAGAACAGGTGATAAACATTACCATTGAAATCTACCTGATGACTTTATATCCATACTCAGGTGCCAAGAATCCAAGTCTAACAGACTGTGACTAGTAATAATCAGATACATAGAGATTAGAGGTGCATGTGCAAATATCTAAGTGTTAATAGCATTAAAAATGAGTCCTTCTGTAGGAAACAGTATATTTTAAGATGAAACGGAGATTTTTTAAAGATTAAAAACTTATTCAATTTTATGTCTTACAGGGTTTATACTGAGTTCAATATGTATAACTGTATTAATTCAACTGTGAACCTAAAAATTTACAGCCACTTTTGAAAGAGATGTATCTTTGCTCTGGAAATTGTTATTGAATATGTTAAAGCTGTAATGAAATGCTTCTTCTAATCATGTTGTTATTAAATAAATAAAAAATATGGAAACCTATGATCTTATGTACTTAATATATGTCAGTAAATAAAGTAATCAAAACACAAATGAAACAAAATAAGACAACAAAAGCCTTTCCTTCCCTAGGCTTAGTGTCACACACCTGTAACCCAATTACTTTTGAGGTTAATGCAGGAGGACCAATTGAGCCATGGGTTGAAGGCCAGCCAAAGCAACAGGGTGAGGTCCCCATCTCAAAAAAGTAACAAAAAAAAAAAAACCAAACAACCACAAACTCATTGTTTCAAAGCATGGAAAAAGCAATAGAGCAAATGAAGTTCCCAGAAAAACATGTATGTTACAGTATATGAAGATTATATGATTTTTGTATGTCTTTCTTTCATCCATGTCTGTATTTAAATGCTGTGAACTTTGAATGAAACTCTGGACCAATAACTACAGGAAAACACTCCATGGGACTGGAGGACCCAAGTTTGGTTCTCAGCACCCACGTGGCAGCTCACAATGCCCTGTAACTCCAGTTCCAGGGGGATCTCACATCTCCTGTCCCTGTTGACACTGCATTCACATGCACATACTCACAAGTGGACACACACATTTGCACATAATTAAAAATAGTAAAAATAAATATTTTTAAATCGTCAGTATCCTAATACACATTATTCCTTTATTCTGTTTTATTTTCACTGAATTATCAGTTATTCATTGTGGATCTCTCCCACTAGACAAGTCAAGACCAGGAAAAATCTTCACTCATGTGTCCCCTAAGACCAAAATTAGACCTTGCTACAGACTGAATTATAAAACTATTTGCTGAACAATAAAAGGCTACCCAGCACCACTGCAAAGGAACAAAGATCCTGAACATACATTTCTTAGACAAAGATATACAAATTACCAAAATCCTTGCAAAATATTTCTCAGCATCACTAATCAGGAGGGAAATGCTAATCAAAATCATATTAAATACAATGAATTTAGATAGTCATTATCAGGGCTGGAGAAATGGCTCAGTAGTTAAGAGCACTGGCAACTTGTGCAGAGGACCTGGGTTTAGCTCCCAGCACCTCCATGGTGGCTAACAGCCATCTGTAACTCCAGTTACAACACTTCCTTCTGGCCTCCACAAGCATTTCACAACATGAGTGAACTTACATACATGCAGGCAAAACACTCGTACACATAGAATAAAAAATAAATAAAAATATTTTTTGAGATAGTTAAAGCCAGGAACTCGAGATAACCTGACTAGACCTCAGTAAGTGAAATTGCACAGAAGAACGACTGGGGACACAAACTTGACACAACAGGCCTTAACACAAATGACAGAATGTATGAATTCCAGTGGGGGTTAGGGAGGGTGCCAACGGGGACAGGGGTATAAAGATGATTAAGATTGATGTTCTGTAAGATTGATGTTCTAATGAATAAATAAAATACTATATAGAGAGATATAAACCAGATAGAAACATAAATATTACATGATTCCATTTGCATTCTGTATCTAGACTAGTCAAATTCATTAGCACAATTAAATATAAAATTTATTATTTATTGAAAGTTGACTGAATGTAGTTTCTCTCTATTTCAATTGGGGTTTTAAAATTAAATGTAATAATTTCAATTGCTACAAACTTTTTATAAGTGTGGTTCTTTACTAAATATCAGTCTAGAGCTATGATTGATTGCAATGTGTCTAAACTTTTTGTGAGCAGTTAAGAATATAGTTTTAAAACACTTTTATTCTTTGAAAATTTCATACATGGACACAATGCTTTTTTTATTATCTTACCTAGCCTATACCTTCCCCAAAGCCCACCAACCCATCCCCCTCCAGATATCATGGACTTTTATTATCATTACATTATTATTATTAATAGAGCACTAAGACCAGTTAGTGCTGACCATGGGCAAATGGTGTGGAGCCATTCACTGGGACATGGGCAACCTAACAGTGGCCATATGTCCAAAGAAAACTAATAATCCCTCCCTCAGCAGCCAACAACAACTAGTAGCTCCTCAGCTAGGGGTGGGGTCTCTGGAGCCCCTCTCTCATTAATGTTGAAATTTTGACTTTTGGGGGTTTTGGGGGGGTTGAGACAGGGTCTCACTATGTAGCCCCAGCTAGCCTGGAACTTGCTAATGTAGACTATCCCAGGCTGGCCTTGATCTCACAGTGATGTGCCTGCCTCTGCCACCCAAGCGTTGGGATTAAAGTGTATGCCACAATGCTTGGCTGGAATTTTTACCTTTTTGTGGGAAAATAACAGAAAATAAAGCCATATAGTTTTGCAATTATGGAATTATTTGCCTTTGGAATTCCAATGGTCTTTGTTCATACCTTATAACATTTAATACATTTTACAATTTGTTCATTTCCCATTTTCCTAATAGTTCATGAGCTAGAAGTATCTTTCACAAAAGTCCACAGAATTTACTGGAATTATCAATAATTAATTGAGAAATGCCTCTTGTTCTGGGATAGGAAGATACTACAGAATGAGGATTGAGAGAATACTTTAGCAACAATAATCAAGAACTGGGGTACAGCTCAGCAGAGGGCTTGCCTAGCATATAGAAAGCCTTTTATTCAATAACCAGCATCACAAAATGGAAAATAAAATTGATAAATGAACAGAAATCAAAGCATTTGTATTGGTTGTTTTTAATATTGCTCCAAAACAAAGAGGCATGTGAATGCAAAAAGAATGAGGTAGGCATGAAGACAGGGATTTGAAGAGAATTAGAAGCCATGTCTTTAAAATAATTCTTACTTTCTGTGCCATCTGCTTCCAGTTGGTCTTCTCTGGGAGTCTATCTAAACTTCAGGTTTCCAAAGAGCATGATGGCTCCAGTAAGTTTATAGCAACCATACTTCTCATCAGGAAGAAAGCCCAAGATGTCCATGGCTCTCTGTAAGAAGAGAAATAGATAGCCTCGTCTTCTTTGACTGATGGCTACAGTAAGCACCTCACCCCACTGTACTTCACACATCCCCACACATCCCCACACTAGACTGTGGGCTGAGGAGTGAAAGACAGCATCACAGGATCAGAGGACCAGCTCAGTTCAAAGCAGTGCAATAGGCCTCACTGGCACTTGGTCACCAGCAGTCTGCTCTGTGCTTTAAGAGAAAATTAAGAAGGAACAGAACTTGGCTTGTTTAGTGTCCAGTGGTTTCAGAAGTTCCTTCAGCACTCTGTGCCTCTCCTTTCCCTTCCAGCAACAGATTGCTTTCTGGCTATATGAGGTCAATTATTTTGTCTTTCATGGTTACCACAGCTGCACTATATCTGCTGGGCGGCTTGTTTCCATGATCCCGTACATTCTCCTGGTTTTATTTCAGAGCCTGCTCATTTCAGAGACTAGTAAAAGGATGTGTTTAAGGAAATAAACCCCATGTCACTGCATCCTAAGAAGCCACTGAATGTTATGAGAAGCACATCCCTACATATCCCAGAAGACTACATATCATTCTAGTGGCTAAGTTAAGAATATGAATCAAGATTGCAAAAACAATTTTATCCTTCCCAATAACTTCCTTCACCAGAATCTAAGACTGCGTGAATCTAATGCTCAGAAAGTGTTACCCTACAAAGATATTCACCAGGGTGACGTGAATCTAAAGTCTTGGGACTTAATTGCAGCAGAATGACTCAATAAGCAGTAGGACAAATGCCTTATAAAATACTAAATGTTCACCTAAAATGCTTATGAAATGAAACATAAAAATCAATCTTTATAAACCACTCAGTATTTTCAGTATGATTGTAAACTTTGTTTGAAATAAATAACACTACAAAAGCAACTTCAAATTGATAGAAATCAGAATAAGGCTTTAAAGATAGACCAAGTAAAAGAGTTTATCATTGACTTGAATTTTCTTCCCACTTTTCCATAGCTTCAAAACCACTTTACTGAAGATGTGCATTTTATAGTAAGTAAATTCTCGATAAACATAGCCTCCACTCTCAGTGTGAGCAAGGCCATGCCTCCAGGCGTCAAGATGGAGCGTTATGATGTTTGTTTTCATTGTTCATTGCCTTTTCCAGACTTAGACAGCTTCAAAGCCTTACTTCTTGGCCAGCGATTCTTCAGCATCATCCAAGCTCTCCACAGCAACCTCTCCACAGGAGCAAATGTGAAAGTCAGATGGATTTGTGGACACCAGGAGTATGTCTACAGTAGAGAACCATTGGTTAAACAGCTTAGAGAAACACACAAGGCCTGAGGAAACTATTGAACAAAATTTAGTTTACTTTATAGAAAGTTTGCAAATAAGCCAAAATAAAACCTATATTCTAGACCCAAACCTCTGCAATCAATTTTCTGCCCTCTATTAACTTGTCAGTAATGTGTTAATGCCTCCCAAGAGAACACCAGGTTGTCCAAATCCAAAAGCAGATTGAACTGCAGCAGCATGAAGTGGTGATGGAGGGAGATAATGTGTTGAAAAAATTTTTAAAACAGGCACTTGGCTAGATTTATGACTGAGGGCCAGAGGACAAAAATGTTTTGCAAATTATATGTAGCACAGACCTGATCTTCATAAATAGAAAGCAGCCAGCCTTGGGGTCAGCACCTCGGGAACATCAGTAGTGTAACCCTGTCTGTCACTTTACATCCTCACTCCCATGAGCTTGAGCTCATCTTCCAAGGGATCTATGAATCAGCTACTCTTCAACACTGCACAGCTGGTAGGTCTAAGACTCCTAACATGAGTCACTTCATCTGGAAGCATAATGCAGAACAAAGCCAAGGCAGCTGTCAGTAGCTCATCAGTTGACTTGGCAGAGTACTGCCTAACCCTTGATCCCAGTGAAGGCTTTTTGATCTGGTCTTATCTTTCCATTTGCCACTCATTAATGTGGATATCCTCTATGTGGGAATACAAATTTGAGACAAAGAAATTGAGCTACTGGAATGCTCACAGAAACTTTATTTGGTAGCATGCCAAATGGTGAGTGGGTTAATAAACTGTTATCCTTGCAAGAAGTTATTATTCATAAAGAAATCAACTAAAACATTAAAGAACCTCAAAATAAATATTTTGACTGAAACAGTCAAACAAAAATAGTATATGGTGTATGATCCTGTACTATAAAATTAGAGAAAATGAAACCCAATTATCTTGACAAAATGCACACTAGTATTTATGTAGGATAGCAGAAGAGGTGTTCCAACAATGAAAAAAGGCAGGAAAGAGGGATTGTACAAGATTTGAAAACATGTTTAAATGGATGAATATGTTCATTGTGGTAATGGCGTCTTACATATAAACATGTCGATACTTAGCTATTACATACTTCAAACATATGCAATTAATTATAGGTCAATAGTTCTTTAATAAAGATAGTTTCAAACATTTTTTTTAATTTAAAGATAAAATGAAACTGGCATAGCTCAAAGCAAATCAGTCTCTTTCCTAAGCCACTCACTCCCCACTCACTTTTCCTCAGGACTTCAGGCTTCTGAGTAGGCCTCTTTCTTTATTCCTCCTTACACCACCCAAGCCTGTGTAAGTCTTTCCTTGGATCTGTGTAGACCCTAAAACAAGGTAATATTCTCACCTTACTCCTCTTTAGGCTGCCTAATACCCTCTATCCTTTCCCAGGACCCAGCTCTGACACTGCTGGATAGAGTCCTCTCCTTCCTCATATCTAGGTCATCACACTACTTGTGTTTCTTTGGACCTCACAGACCAGGACACTAGGCAGAACACTCTCTTTTATCCTCCCTAGGCTCCCCAAAATCCCACCTGCCCTTCATCAGGACCCTATAGACTCCCCATGTGGCATGCATCCTACACAGCCATCCCAACCAGGGTTCATCCTCAGCACCATTCCCTCCTAGCCAGGACCCTCTCTAGGAATCTAGCACACACTGCAAACAGAACTTATCAAGAGAAGCGCTCCCTTCCAAGTGGACCAGCCTACAGGTCCTCTTCAGAACACTCTCCTGCAGAGCCCCTCTCTAGTCACCCACACAGCCTTGGTAAGATACCTGTTTCCCTCAGCTTTATCCTCTTGGACTCCCGCAAGCCTTCCAGGCCACCTGGAGACTCCAACCTGGTGGGAAAAAAATCAGGAAATGAAACAACCAATAACCTAACCCCAGATGTCTGGGTCTCATTTCAAAAACACAAAAATATACAAAAAAATAAACCAAAAAATATACAAAATGCCAAAGACAATGTGCTTCCCACAAAGACCACCAACCCTGTAGTAACTGTCCCCAATGAGAAAATCTTAGACAAAATTCAAGACACAAAATCAAAAGAACAAATACAAACATGTTCAAAGAGTTCAGGAATTCAAAGAGGCCACCAATAAACAGGTGAATGAACTTAAAGAGGACAGGAATAAACTCATGATTGAAGTCCAAGAAACCATAAACAAATGGCTTAATGAAATAATGACAATTCAGGATACAGAAATTAAATTAAAGAGATAAAAATACTGAAGGAAAATCAAACTGAAATGAAGCTAGAAATGAAAATTTCAGCAAGTCTAATAAAAAACAAACCTCAGTGAAAGTGATCCTTACTAATAGAATGGATCACACAGAAGATAATATCAGAGCTTGAAGACAAGGTAGAGGAATTGAATCAGTCAGTCAAAGAAAATCAAAAACTTTAAAACTCATGAGCAGAATATGCAGGAATGCTGGGACACCATGGGAACACCAAATCTATGAATTAAAGACTTATAAGAATCCCACATCAAAAGCATAGAAAATATCTTCAGTAAAATCATTGAAGAAAACTTTCCAAATCTAAGAAAAGAGATGCCCATTCAGAAATAAGTGGCATATAGAACACCAAATAGACATAACAAGGAAAATAACTCCCCATGCCATACTATACTTAAAACATTAACTATATAGAACAAAGAAAGTTGAAAGTTGTAGTAGAGAAAACTCAAGTCACATATAAAAGCAGGTCCATATATATGGACCATATATAT